CAACACAGACAACCTACTCCTGCCATTGAGAGTGATGACAGTGATTCTGAGGCAGTTGATGATGAAGTGGCACACTTTGGAGACTCTGCTGAGCTAGGTCGTTTGCAGATGCAATGAAGCGTCTGATGCAGATAAATGGAGAGAGGCAGCCATGGAAGAGCTTCAAGCTCATGAGCGCAATGGTACTTGGTCACTAGTGGAACTACCTCCTGGAGTCAAGGCTATTGGTGGCAAGTGGGTCTTCAAGATCAAGCGCAACTCAGATGGCACTGTTGAGCGCTACAAGGCCAGATATGTGGCCAAAGGTTATAACCAGCGCCCTGGCTTTGATTTCCTCGAAATATTTGCACCTACTGTCCGCATATCATCCATCAGAGTTGTCCTTGCCATTGCAGCCATCCACAACCTCCATTTGCGCTCCATTGACATTTCCCATGCATTCCTGAATGGAGTCATGGATGTCAAGGTCTACATGCATCAGCCAGAGGGATTCCATCAGGGTCCTCGCAATCTTGTTTGCCAGTTGGACAAGGCCATCTATGGGACAAAGCAGGGAGGCAGAATGTGGAACCAGAAGATGCACACTGTGCTTGAAAAACTCGGATTCAAGTGTACTTATTCAGACTCTGCCATCTATGTCTTTAACAGAGCTGATGTGCGCATTATCCTGCCTGTCTTTGTTGATGACATGACACTGGCATCCACTTCTACTTCTGCACTTGACCAAGCTGTCAAGGACCTCTCCCTGCACTTTAAGCTTCGTGATCTTGGCCCTACTTCTTACCTACTTGGCATATCCATCACCAGAGACATCAGCAATTGCACTATATCCTTGTCCCAACATCAGTACACTCTGGACATTCTGGAGCGCTTTGGCATGAAGGACTGCAAACCTGTGTCCACTCCTATGGATCCTGGTTTGCGCCTCACCAAGGACATGTCTCCCAAGACATCCAGTGATGCTGCCATGATGAAGGACATTCCCTACCTTGCTGCTGTTGGTGCTCTGATATATTTGGCCACCACCACTCGTCCTGACATTGCCTACACTGTTGGAGTCCTTGCCAGATATAACTCTAATCCTGGTCTCACTCACTGGAGCGCTGTCAAGCACTTGTTTCGCTACTTGCAAGGCACCCTTGATCACTCCCTTGTCCTTGGTCCTGATCCCAATTCCACTGAACTCTTCACCACTTTCTCTGATGCTGATCAAGGTGGTGACAAGGACTCTGGTCGTTCTACTGGTGCCTATATTGTCAAGATGGGATCTGGTGCTGTCTCCTGGAGCTCCAAGCTTCAGAACATTGTTGCTCTATCCACCACTGAAGCAGAATATATTGCTGCTGTTGAGGCTGGCAAAGAGATCTGCTGGATGCGAAATTTGTTGAAGGAAATGGGCTATCCTATCACCTCTCCTTCTACCCTTCACATTGACAACCAATCTGCCATCTCTGTATCCAAGAACCCTGAGCACCATGGTCGCATGAAACACCTTGATTTGCGATGGCACTGGTTGAGAGATGTTGTTGACTCTGGGCAGATTGCTCCTACCTTTGTTCCCACTGCTGAAATGCCTGCTGACTTGTTGACCAAGGCTCTTGCCAAGCCTAAAGTCGAAGTGTTCAGGAAGATGATGGGACTGATTAGAGCAGGGGGGAGCTGATGCTTGGGAGGTGCAGCATCAGGGGGGAGTGTTAGTTTTGGTGATTCTGCACCTTTGTGCTACCTCTATATTTTCATTCCTTTCTCTATCTATCCCTGTACCATTCAGTATTCATTGTGTTCTCTATTATTCCGCCTTTGTGGCTCCTTTGTTTACCTTTGTTTACAAAACATCGGACAGTACTGCAGAGTCCAATGCTTCCTATTCTCTAGTTACTCACATTGGACTCTAGGTACTGTATACCTGTCATACTCTCTAATAATATAGTTACTCACATTGGACTCTAGTTTCCAGTCCCTGATTGCTCTCAGCAAGTGGCTAGACACTTCCTTCAAGCTTTGTTCTTAATAGTTGTAGTGGCCAGATACATCAGAGCACCAACAGCAGCAAGGTAGGGAATGTCCTTCATCAAAGCAGCATCACTGGATGTTTTGGGAGACATGTC